TCTGTGCTGTAATATACCACACTTAGATTAACCTTCTGATATTTGCATTAAAACTGGAAGACACTTGGGCTACTTAAACCTCATAACTACCCTTAGTGTCCCTATTACATCTTCTTTCCTTCCTGAAAACATTTGTCATCTTTTTTTCTTTACCTCCTCATTTTAAATTACTTTCTCTGCAGCATTCTTCTCTCTCCCGTTAGACATGAGATGCTCTCTCCTTTAGGAAACTTTACGTAAGTATAAGTAAGAAAATACGTTACCTATCCTCCTGAACGTTTTTATAATGATAGCTAAAATGTCATGTATAAAAAGAAATATATGCATAAATACTATTTTTATTTTGGTTCTATGCCGTATTTCTCCATGTTATTATTTTAAAGATTGGCACCTGAGCTAACATCTGTTGCCAATCTTCTTTTTATTTTTATTTTTTTTTCTTCTTTTCCCCAAAGCCCCCCAGTACATAGTTGTATATTCTAGTTGTAGGTCTTTCAGTTTGTGCTATGTGGGACGCCGCCTCAGCATGGCTTGATGAGCGGTGCCATGTCCTCACCCAGGATCCAAACTGGCGAAAGCCCGGGCCACCAAAGCGGAGCACACGAACTTAACCACTCGGCCCCGTGCCAGCCCTGCTCCATGTTATTTTTAAATGGTTATTGTTCAGGAGTTAGACCAAGTATGGGCTCTAAACTTAAAAAAATCATGTTGTTCTATTTCATACTCTGTTTTATCATAAAAGTTCCTCTAGACAGAGAACTTTCTTAAATAAAGTCTTTAAAAAATAATTTTGTGTGCTCTTGAGCATTGTGCAGTGTTTTGAAGTATACTTAGTTTACTTATTATTGCTTGATACTGATTCAGCCAGTTTTAGGCTGGTAGGGGAGAGGGTTCATGTATACTAATAACTATAATTCAAAATAGAAAGTAGTAAAAGCCTTAGTTGTCTCTCATTGTGCTCCCATGATAACCTGTACTTACTCCTTCACTGCAATTACACTATTGATGTTGCCTCTGTTTTTGTCTCTGATTGAGTCTATTACAAACTAGAACAGTGGTTCTTAATAGATGTGAGGGTAGTAAGGTATGGGGCTTTGCATTTTGAAACAAACTTCCCATGCTATTCCTCAGGTACATCACACCCTCTAGCACCATCACCATCACCATTCTCCTTTTGAAAACTCTAATACTGATCTCTAAACTCTGAGAAGATATGGAACTGTATCATCATTTTCTCTCCAGTGCTTAGTTTTCTTTTGGCTTCTGTGCCTATTAAGGTAGACAGTAAGTATTTATTCCCTGCAAGAAGGTAAACCCAGGAGTTTAATGCTGGGAGAGATCACTTCTGACTTGGAAGGGCATGAAAGACTTATAAAAGAAGGGTCACTTGAGAGGGATTTGAAAAGAGGTATAGAACTGGTTTTATGGAAATGGAGAGTGCATTTCAGACAAGAGGGAATGAGCAAAAGCAGAGGCAGGGCTGTGTGGTATGTATTCCAGGAATATTTGGGCAAAAACCGTAGACTGTGTGAAGTGCGAGAAAGCCTAGAAAATTTGCCTGAATTCAAATTGTGAATGCCCTTGAATGCCATTGTGTGGAATTTGAACTTTATTTGTAGGTGGTAGAGAACCACTGAGAAATTTTGATTGTGGTGTAACTTGATTCCTCTATCAGCAACTTGATATGTCTGTCAATGTATAGGTAAGATGATGGGTAGGTAGAAAGTAGAAACAGACTTCAGTTGAAATGAGGATATTAGGTACAGTTAGAGTCTAAATTGGAATGACAGTGAAGAAAGAAGAGGTAGTTGATGCCCGAGATAATTTTAGAGGTAAACTCAACAAGCCTTGGCCTCTCTTATTTTAAGTATCACATTGTTCATTTTAAAGTGGTAACACCATTCCCAGTGAAGAGAGAGTGTTAGCCAAAATGAATGTTTTGACATGCTGATATTCCTCCTTTTGCAGTTGAATGGCCTTGGCGTTTATAGAAAATAAATAATGAGGTAAAGTTAATTGGATATCATCTTGATAATAAAAATGTAGTCAAGTGATTGACTTTGGAGGTTTCTTTCATGTAAACATTAATTGTAAATTAGAGATGTATCCAAAGAGAGAACAAGATATTCATTTGGACTTTGTTTCTGTAATGGTTTATATCGGCCTTTTTGCTTTCTTTCCCATTTATTAATTCAGATGTAGAAGGGGCTGAGCTATGGCACGCTGCAAATGCCACTTTAGATTTCATTAGGAATCAGTGTACAATATGCTGATGCCCTGTTTGATACGAGTACAAGAAACTTAGCCTCAATATTGAAAATGAAGGGTATTCTCCTTGTTATCTTGTGAGCTGCCCTTAATAGAATATTTGGTTATTTTATTTTATCAAGTTTTAGCTGACAGCAAAAAATATTACCATCATCAATGTTGTTTTATGTTGCTGCTTTTCATGGTTTTAGGAGGTAGAAAATGATCGTGATTTATTTAGTTATCTTTGTTTTATATATTATCTGTAGATCCAGTGGATTATTCGCATCACTGTTGATATCATTTCTCTTAAATAGTTTGTTGATCTTATATAATTTCTTATAGTGTTTGCTTCATATAGGCTTCAGCTCTGGAAGCTCATTTGGATTGTTTCAAAACCCCAAACCAAGATTTCTGATTTAAGATGGCAGAGTAAAGAGATTTGTGCCCGCTTCTATCTGAAATTACCCTGAAACAAAAGGACAGCCAGAGACAGAGATGTAATTACATCTTCAATGAGACTATAAGTCCTGTAACCCCAAATTTAAATATTTGAGAAGTTGTTGTCAAGTGTAAGCAGGAGGAGATTCAAAGAGGATGCTGGTAGAAGGAGATCTCAGACAGAGCTGGCAGAGCCGTGAGAGAGAGATCTATTTACAGTGGGATCGGGATGCTTAGGAAGGCAGTGGGAGCTTCCTTGGGTTGTTGGGCAACATGAACTATCAGGAAAAGAAGACCGAATGAGAAAGCACACAGGTACACCGTCTTTGCAGGAAGCACTCTCTGGGTGAGGCAAGAAGTAATGGCTGAACAACTTTCGCTTGTTCCGACACAGTTTCCCTCTCTCTTTCTCTCTCTCTCTCTCTCTCACACACACACACACACACACACAAATCTGTCGTAAACAGCTTCCTTGTATTCCAGAGGAACTACCTTCTAGTCGAGAACGCAGTCTTGTTTCTTCCTTCCACAAATAGCTGATCAGAGTGGAGTTCACATCATTCAAAGATAAATAATAATAAAAAGGAAATGAGCACAGTATCTGTGCAAAAATTCTATAAGAAGAAAGGAGAAAAGAAACGGAGAAACAAATGGCGAAGAACCCATGAGGAGACTGTATTGGCCTAACAAGTTTGATGAAATAATCACTTCTTTAAAATCATAGACAAAGGTAATTGATCCAAGAACCAGGAAGAAATAGTAAGAGAACAGTATCTGGTGAACCATAATCTGACAGAGCTCCAGAAAGAAAAATAAAATCAGAGAAATAAAAATTGCCACATTGGAAGCAAAAAGGAGAATTAAGATTATTGAAAACTCAGTAAAGGACATGACGACAGGCTTTTGAAAGTTGAACAAAGTGAAATGGGAATGAAAGGACATGAAACAAATGCTTAATTGTAGTTCTGGAAATAAGAGAATTCAACATTAGAACAGAAAAATATTCAAACATATAACTTAAGAAAACAGTCCACAAAGAAAAGAAATCTTGATTCTGCAGATTGAAAGGGCACATAATGAGAAAAAACTAATACACAGTCCTCCACATCATAACATGACCTAGTTTTTAAAAAAAATGGATTTCAAGGGTAAGGAATGTATTCTTTGCTCATCTCGTTAAAAAGATCAGCTTACGTATAGAGGAGTGCAGAGGAGGGATCAGATATTGTCAAGGGAATATTTAGCATTATAGGACAATGGTACAAAGCCTCTAAATCATCAGGGGAAAGAAATCGTGACCTCACAGCCAAACTGTCAGTTGACAACCATTTTTGAAGAGTGCAAGAGCTCAAGGTAAATGGTACTCAAAGTTCTCTTTGGTAAACTATGAGAAGATGAATATCAGCTATCCAGGAGATAAGCAGAGTTGATACAGCAAGAGGATTGGCAGGGAACATCATAAGAATAAGTCAAAAACAACTAAGATTTGTAGTTACAGAATATAATAGAACTATAACATGGTAGAAATAATTAATAAAGGCGGGATTGAAAGGAGAGAAGGCAGGAGGTAGTATAAATTTGCTAATTTCTTATTTTATAGCTGGAGAACAAAAGACAGAAAGCTTAGACATCAAGTAATAGAAGTGTTAGTATATTTAAAGGAATAAGGATAAACACTTGAAGAACAAAATACAGTATGTTTAACCCAAATCAAACAGTGGAGAGGAGGTAAGAACTAGAATTATATTGACTTTCTTGTCCCTAGAAGTAGAGATGGGACCAAAGATGACAGAACAAAAATTTTTATCATGGCGTTCTTTATTTACACTTGCCAGAAACTGAAAGCATACATGGGATATCTATAAAAACTGATCACATCAAAAACGATAAAGAGCTCTCAGACGGATGATGTTCCTTGACCACAAGCTTTCTGCATTTCTTCCATGGAATTGTTCTCTGTAGGGTCAGCGGCAGCAGCATCGCCTGGGAACTCAGCAGAAATGCCAGTTCAGAGGCCCCACACCAGATCCACTGAAGCAGAAACTGGGGAAAAGCCCCCCAGTCTCTGTTGGTCAGTTTTTATTCATATCCCATTTATGTTTCAGTTTTTTGCAAGTGTGAAGAATGCCGTGATAAGTTTTTGTTCTTCCGTCTTTGGTCTCATACCTGATCATCTCTTTACAAAGGAAGATGGCCAGATCAAAGAATGCTCTCTAGAGCTTTCGATAACTTTTTCTTTGCTCTGTTGTTGGTTATTAGAGGTGAAAAATTAAAAATAAGTTTTGTCTCTAGAAATACCTTTTTGTTCACAGCAAACAAGATTATCTGCGCATCCAAAAAGATGAAACCAACTGGGGTACTTTCACAAGGCAACCACGTGAGCACCACAGACTAATGAGTAGAATCAATAAGAACGTGATTTTGGCGCTTTTAACTTTGACAAGTTCTGCGTTTTTGCTGTTTCAGTTGTACTACTACAAGCACTATTTATCAGCAAAGGTAATTCTTTTTCTCCTTTCTTACCATTGGGCTTCATTTTAACTGTATATTTTCCTAGCATACTTCCCTTTTGCAGTATGTAAAATTAATCACAGTTTTTCAGATCCTTCCAGAAATATTTCTTACTGAGATTCTATTTTTATGGGGTGTGGCAAACAATTCAAAATTGCAGTTAAATGTTATTATAATACACTACATGTCAAAGTTGCCAAGTTTCAGTGATGTTTCATCTATTGAAATTTTCTCATATAGTTATGTAAAAATTATTTTTCAAAACAATCAATGATAAATCATTTTGATAAAATGTCAAAATTAGTTTAGTATGATCTTTTACATTTTAATTTACTATCTATCAGGAAAACGTAATGGTATAACTTACCTTTATTACGAATCTATAGGCATAAAGATGCAGAGACAGTGGTTTGGAAACTAATAGCTCCTGAAGATCAACACAGAATATACTTCTGTGGTCCAGATAAATTCTGAATTTGAGGAAGCATTGCTGAGTTGTGAAAAGTTGCCAAACACTCCCACTGGGGTTTATTGTAATAATAACTGCCATTATTGAGAACTGTACTAGATGCTTTCCATGCTTGATTTAACCCTAAAAACAACCCTGGGAAAAAAATAGATGTTTTTTGTTTTTATTTTTAATCTCCACTTGATGGTTGAAAGTAATCTTCAGAAATAGTTACTTCCTTCTCCCTCCGACTAAAGGGGATGATGCTTCCTTGCCCTAGTTGGGCTTGACCACAAACAAGACTTATTTTGGCTGGTGGAATGTTATAGATGTATGCAGAGACTTCAAATGGGCTCTTATAATTTGACTGCCGTTTTGTGCTCCCCTCACTTGCTAGGAGAAGAATGTGCCCTGGCTTCTTCTGGGTTCTGGCTGCCCTGTGTGAGATATATGGAGCACACCACAGCAGAGCTGCCCAGCTGACTCACAGATCTGTGAGGGAGAAAATAAATGCTTAAAGCCTGTAGGATTAGCAGAGGCTTATTATGCACCATTGTTACATGAGGTTTCTAGACCTCATTTTACAGACAAGAAAACCAGAACTGTCACAGAGATGTTAGATAACTTACCCACATCAGCCACTTTGTAACACGCAGAGCTGACCGTTGTACCTAGCTCCATTCCTTCCAGACTATATTATTTTTAAAATAATTGACAAGTACCGAGGCTACCAGATATCTTGGCTGTTTATCCAGTGTAGGTCTTTGTATGGCCTCTTCAATCCTTTTCTGATTATTTTCTTGGGATTAAGTCCTCGAGTGGAATTTCTGGGTCTAATATGCACACTTTAGATTTTGTTACATATTGCAGAGTTACCTTTCATAGGTATAAGTAGTGTGCCTGATTTCCTATACCCTTTCCAAGGATGGGAATAAGCGTAACAGTAGTAGCCATAGTAATGGCATCTGTATCAGTTAGAGCTGCTTTTGACTGACTGACAGTAGCTCAAACAGAGGGTTATTTGTCTCTTACACCTTTAAGTCCAGAGCTTCTAAAATTTCCTTGACATTTTCCCTGTGTTACAATCAAGGCTGGGAGAAGAAATAGTGCATTCTAGCAGGCTTCTACTTCTGTGACATTAGCCAGCAGATTCCCATCTGTAAGCGAGTCTGGGAAGGCAAAGTTTTACTGTTAGTGTTGTTGTTATTTAGCTTTTCCAGCCTCTATAATAGAGACTGCAAAGGAGAAGGGGTTTGGGAGTGGGTGTTGGGTCAACTTACCTAGTGTCTGCCAGAGCTAACATTTTTTCATGTGCTTGTAGACTAAGCATTTTATGTACGTTTAATTCTAATAACAATAAATTGAGTCGATCCTGTTGTCCCCATTTTTCTAGAGAAAAAAACTGAGGTTTGGAGAGATTTATTAATTTGTCCAATGTCACACAATTATTAAGAGGGGAGGTAGAATTTAAGCCTGGGGAGTCTGTCCCAAAAACTGTTCTTTATATGTTTAGTTTTTTGATGTTCAAATGCTGAAAGATTAAAAAACTCCATTAGAGGTCATTTCTTTGATTGCTGGTGGGGTTAAACATCTTGCTATATGGTTATTGGTTCTTTTTATTTCTTTTTTATTCTTACTTCTTTTTGTTCCTATCCACATATTTTTTCTGGTGGTGTTGTCTTTTTCTGTAGCTGCTCTTCATAGTTTTAAGGATCTTTGTCTTTATCATGTATATTTCAAATAATTTTCCTAGTTTGTTAATTTTCTTTTAACTTTATATTCGTGATGTACCCACTTCATATGTTAGTATTTGATGTCCAGGTAGATAGATGTCAAGATCTTTCTTCCTTCGGGCATCTGGTTTTTATGTCATAAGTAACCCAAGATTGTGGAAGTATTCACCCATATTTTCATCAAATATTATTTTATGTTTAGATTTTTTAACTAAATAGAAATTATTTTAGTATGACGTATGAGTAAGGTATCTAACTTGCAGTTTTCCCCAAATGGTTAACCAGTTGTTCCAATATCACTTACTGAATTCCCCCATTAATTTAAAAATCCTTTCTTAATTATATGTATTCCTATAAATAACTGCTATCTTGATCCTTTTCCCAGGATGCAATGTAGCTTAGTTGTTAAGAGCACAAACCCCATCCTCGGATTAAACCTCTTCTGTACTGTTTATTAGCTGTGGGGTCTCGGGTAAATTACTTAACTTCTAAATGCCTCTGTTCCCCCATCTACAAAATGCAGACATAACAGTACTGTCTTCTAGACTTGTGAAGCTTAAATGAATTAATATACATAAAGCATTGGGAATAATGCACGTCCCACAGAAAGAGATCAGTAAATATGAGCTATGATTTTTATTATTCAATTTTATAATCAAAAGTAGTATCTCTTATATTGAGTCCATAGCATACAAACTTCCTTAGTAATAAGTGCCATATTCATTAAACAAAAAAGAATATTTTGAACAGAATAAAGCATAAAATAAAGTTCAGTTAACCTTATGTACTACTAAATTTGTGAAGTTTGCAGTATCTGTGATAGAGTTCTTGTTTTCTGTTTACTATTAATGAATAATGGGTAGAAATTATGACATCTCAGTTCTAAAATACCAAAGGTTATTTTTATTTTATTGAAATATATGGAAATTATGTTAAACTACTCCTAGCCAAGTAATTTTACGTTCTAAAAAATGGAATTTATAAATTTATGTATTAATTCAAAAACTTTTATTTAAAAGTCACTATTTGTTGGACCTTTTGCCAAGGTCATAGAAACAGTGAGAAACGGTTTCTTCTCCTCATATATTTATAGAGGACAGATGCTGATGGAAGTGTAGATGCTTCCTGTATGTTATTAGCATGAAAATAAGATACTATCTGTAAGGAGTACAAGTAATTTCTCTATGTCAACAGGAAAAAAAATGCTTTATTTAAAAATAATAAGGGTAGTTAAACTAATAGATGCTGAAGTACCAACTTTTACAATGTTTTCAGTTTTGTTGAGGAGAATGTTTAAACTTTTGGCTTTTTGTTAAACTTCAGGATCTCACTTATACATAGGGTTTGAACTCAAACTTCAGGGAAGTAGAGATGCATCCTCGGTATTCTAATACAGTTTCTCCTGACGTAGGAAGAGAACCCAAATTTTGTAAACTTTGTTTACTGATTGTATCTAAATTGCATTTCTCATTTGTTCAGTGAACAACATTTTGTGGAATATTCTTAAATAAAGAAAATTCACACAAATAAAAATGATTTCTAGTTCAATTAAATTTGTTTGATTTGTTAGCAGAAGAGTACAGAATAGTAGCCTTGATCAGTACTAAATTATAAGTCAGCATCATCGACATAAAACCATAATTGTAGATCATCCTTGAACTGCAAGATGATTTAGAAAGACACTTGAGATTATGTGTTAGAGCTAGGGCAAGAATGAAAAATTAGTTTTATCTTTGGTCCCAACCCACACCTAGTAGCAGTAAATGCCTGCAGTGGTAAATGTTGGGAAGGACTACAAAGCTTTTCAGCCTCTTCAGGAAAAAGTATTCCAATATCTGTCATTGGTCAGGGAAGAAGAGATTTGCTGTCTTGGAGTTTAGGAGGCCTGCTTCTATCCGTTTCTCAGGCCTCATCACAATTCCTTTTGGCCCAGCTGGTTAGACAAGTTTAGTCTTTCTCTGATCCCTTAAATGAGGTCTGAGTAATCTCGTTTTCTGTAGCACTGAAGATAAGGAACCAATATTTTATATGTATTGGGTCTGCTCAAATTCCATAGATGGGTACAGTTGACTCTTCAGATTCCCAGATGGCCAACAAGGTCTTTGAAATAAAAACTCTTGTAGTATGGTGGCCTTGAGAGCATTTTCTGTGAGTTCCAACTTTCAAGTAATTGGCTTGCAGCTCACACCACAAAGGAAAGGACATGTCTCCAGGACCCTCAAGGGGATGTTCAGTTGTTCATTGTTTCTTACTGTACCTAACAGGATAGTGTGAGTATAATTCTGTATGCCCATTCAATCTGTATTTATTTGCAGGAGTACAGAGAAAAATAGAACACAGGTTCTACTCTCAGGGAACTCATACTTCGACAGAAGTGGCAACAGCAGTAGTTCTTGAGTTTGGTGCCTAGATAATCCCCAGTTTGAATCCTCATTCAGTTGTTTGGCTTTTAGCAAGTCATTTAACTTCTTTGAGCCTCAGTTTCTTTAAGTGGGGCTAATAGCAACTTTGCTGTTTGAGAGAACGTATGTAATGCATCTAACTTAGTATCTGATGGTAGATGCTCAGAAAATTGTAGTTATTAATAGCTTACATTTTCTAGTGTTCTTAAGGTTTACGTTAGAGTTTGGTAAATAAAATCATATTCAATTATAATGTTCTTATGAACTTATAAAATACTTTGAAAGCAAGAGGAGAAAGAATGTCTGAAGGTCTAGAGACAAGAGGAAGAATGTATTTTAGAACTTATCAGATGAAAACTAGTAATGCTTTCTTTCTTCTGATTCTCTAGACCTGAATACTTTTAAAAATATTATTTAAAAAAGCCTCAACGTTTGAAATTATGATGTGTGTTAGGAAAAGTGTGGGCCCTGGAGCTGTCTGTGAAACAGAAATAATAATGCTTGCTTTGTAGGAGTGTCATGCAGGATAGAGGAGAATGCATAATTCATACGTGGAAATGTCAAACTCAGTACACTTAGGAGCTGCTCAATAAATATTATTATACTTTTTTTTATCACTTTGCCAAGGTCTACAAATATTATCCCAGTGTGTGGAGATAAGTCCAAGTTAGGGATATGGAGCTAAATGGATAAACCCTAATTCCAAAGAGATAGCAAGGAGTTAACTATTCCCTGAGAGAAATTAATTAGTTCAGAGATGTTGACCATATATACCTTATTGTTCTGTAATTTAATTAACAATACTGCAGTCTGTCAACTGTTTTCCGTCTTGGGTTGTTGTATAATTGTAGAACTCTTAGCTCATGACCATATGAAAATAGGTATTTGGATAATGCTTTTTGGATAATGATGATGAGCCTGTTATATAGTTTGAATCTCACACTTACCCTAAATGTAATGTTGCATGCTTGGCTTTGAATTTACTAAAATGTTATTATGTTAACTTTCTAGAATGGAGCCGGTTTATCAAAATCCAAAGGAAGCCAAATTGGATTTGATAGCATACAGTGGGTATGTACAATAAGCAAGAAATTCCTCAATTGCAATGTTCGTTTAGTTCGTTTCTTTATTTACTTGCCAAGTCTTTGTTGAATGATGACAATAGCAATAGCTATGCTGGTGGGGAGTGGAGGCAGGTGGTAGAGGAGGAGCAGGCCCTGTGCCAAGTGCTGTGCATGCATTATCTCATTCTGTCCTTATGGAAGCTTTAAGTTAGTACACATCGTCATCCTCAGTTCACTTGGAACACGTAAGATTAGTTGGTGAATAAGTGTCTGAGTCCACATTTTAACTGTTTGCCCCCCAAACCTCAATCACTGAGCTATGATGCTTCCTTAAATGAGTAAATATGTGAATAAGAATTGAACTATGAATAAGGGATAAAATAATGATTAGAAATAAAAATCTATTCAACACGTTTCTGTTATGAGATAAGGGAAACTAGCAATATATACAATATGTCCCTGTTTTGGTTTAAAAATTGCAGCACCTGCACATTTATAAAATATTATAAAAAATGTTACCCTTTTCTAACTAAATTTAGAATGAAAAACAATGTTAGGTTAGTAATAAAAAATTGCATTTATCCTGTTAGTATACATTTTGCATATGACTGGATCCTTCTTGTAGTTGCCCTTCAATCTTTGGCTTCTGTTTAACCAGAGACACAAAAGGCTTTAGATTAGAAGTGGACTTTCAAGTCACCGAGCAGTGATAAAGTAGTGATAATTTTAGGTCACTGCTGACACCAATTGGATTTGAACTACTGTTTAAAAGGTAAAATCTGGGATATCCTATTATCGTGCTCCTCAACTATCAAGTCTAGAAGTATCAATGTGAACTTTTAATTTATTAAAAATAGCGCATTTTGGGGCTGGCCCCATGGCATAGTGGTTAAGTTCGGCGCGCTCTGCTTTGGTGGCCCAGGTTTGTGGGTTTGGATGCAGGGTGCAAAGCTAGCACCACTTGTCAGCTGTGCTGTGGCAGCAACTCACATATAAAGCAGAGGAAGACTGGTGCAGATATTAGCTCAGGGCTAATCTTCCTCAGCAAAAGAAAAGGAAGATGGGCAGCAGATGTTAGCTCAGAGCTAATCTTCCTCAGCAAAAAAAATAGCAGATGTTTTGCCCTGTGAACTTAGGGTAGTCTGAGAGGAAAGAGAAGTGTGATACACTTGAAATTAATACTCCTCAGTCACAATTTAAAGACTCCAGCAGACTGAATAAAAAGGCACATTTTGTGTACTTCTCTCTAGCTCTGCTCTACCTCCAGCCCACTCTTAAGGAAAACATACACATAACACTTGGACCAGATTTATTGTCTTGTGTATGCAATAATTTGTTGAGATTTGAAATTCAGTATTTAACAGCTGGGAACTATACCTGTCTGAAAGTAATGGAGGTGCTCTATCATATCATATCTAAAATGTGATGATACTGACATTAATAATGTAAACTTTTCAAATTTGCCATTTATTAAAAATCTTCATATGTGCACTGAAAGAGTATGTTCAGAAAAAGTTTTAAAACTGTAATAGCTTCAATGGGATAGTAGCCTTTACTTTGTCTGGCTTAACTGGCAACATTCTGACAACATCCCCCAAACCTTTAGTATATAAAGCAGTCAATGGGGGTACAAATTCACTGATACGTTTTAAAATGGAATTTGTGTGTCATTTAAAGCTTAAAATAACAGAGAAAAGTAGAGCAGTCCCATCTTTTTCATCCAGGAAATGACCCTTGAGGTGGAAGAAAATAATGGATTTTTAAAAAAGGATTTAGGGGCCAGCCCAGTGGCGCAACAGTTAAGTTTGCATGTTCTGCTTCGGTAGCCCGGGCTTCACCAGTTCAGATTCCGGCTGCGGACCTATGCACTGCTTGTCAAGCCATGCTGTGGCAGGTGTCCCACATATAAAGTGGAGGAAGATGGGCATGGATGTTAGCTCAGGGCCAATCTTCCTCAGCAAAAAAGAGAAGGGGGGAGGATTGGCAGCAGATGTTAGCTCAGGGCTAATCTTCCTCAAAAAAAATTTTTTTTTAAATAAAAAAGGATTTACTTCCAGGGTAAATGAGCAAAAAACTAAAGAGCACCTTACTACAGTCAGTGAATTCTCTTTGTTAAATACATTGCATAGTACTAAAAAATCATTCTTTATTATATTTGTAAAATCATGGGAAAGGGAGAAATACTAAAATACTTTGTTCTAATATTTTTGAAGGAATGAAAGGTGAAGTCTGATCAGTAAGTGAGATATGAACCCTGATAAAATCCAGAATGAGTTATTAAACAAGTGACTTGAGAACGCTTAGAAAAGAAAATGGTGATTATTAGGAACTAGCTTTCACAAAGAACAAGTCCTGCCGAGCCCTTTTAGGTTCTGATAAAATTGTAGTACACTGGCAGATGAATAGGCTATTACAGTCTCAGCACATCCTGTTTGCAGCAAGACGTTTTTCTTTCTTGTAAATGAAATGAATTACTGAAGGCCAGATGATAATAGCCGTGTTGATTTAGAATTAATTGGATTTAGAGTCAATTGGACAGCTGTTTCCAAGGAGCATTGATAACAACTGGGAAGGCATATTGAGAAGGCGAGTTATCGAGCCTCTCCTTGACCCTGCCCTAATCTGTATTTATATTAATAATTATAAAGAAGCCATAAATGTGTTCATCATGTTTGCATTTAACACCAAGTTGAAAGAGATTCATTCAACAAACATTTATTAAGCACCTTATATGTACTAGTGGCTGTCATCTCCTCTTTCTTCCAAGACCATTTCTTTCTCTTTTATCCTGCTAGGGTAAAGCAGAGAAAGCAGTAACCATGAAAGGAAAAAAATTTGTTAGACTATCAAAATTTAAAACTACTCATCAAAAGACAGCATTACGAAAATGAATAGACATGCCACACAGACTAGAAAATATTTGCAAAACATGTACCTGATGAAAGACTGGTATCAAGGATAATCAAGAGTTCCTACAACTCAGTAATAGTTTTTTGTTCATACTCTATCAGATTGAGGAAGTATCCTCTTCCTGGTTTGCTGAGAGTTTTTAATCATGAATAGGTATTGAATTTTGTCAGATTTTTTCTGTATTGAAATTATCATGGCTTTTTCCCCCCTTTATTCTGTTGATATGATGAATTTCATTGATTGATTTTCAAATGCTACCTTTCATTCCTGGGATAAACCCTACTTGGTTATGATACTTTTTTTGGGTCGTCTTCTTTAGCCCCTGGAGTTGATTTTCTGGTATCTTGTTAGGGGGTTTGCATGTATGCTCATGAGGTGGGAGATCTGTAATGTTCTTTTTGGGTGATGTCTTTGTCAGATTTAGCGGTCAGGATTACACTGGTTTCATAAAATGAGTTAGGAAGGATTCCCTCCTGCTCAGTTTTCTGGAAGAGTTTTTGTAGAATTGGTCTTATTTCTTCCGTAAATCTTTGATAGAGTTCACCAATGAACCATCTGAGTCTGGAGTTTTTGCTTGTTGTTTTGAGTCAGATATTTTGTTTTTAATAGCAAATTCAGTTTCGTTAATAGGTGTGGGGCACTTCAGATGTCCTGTTTCATCTTGTGGTAGTTTTGCTAATTGTGTTTTTTAAGAAATGTGTCCATTTCATCTAAAGTTGTTGAATTTTTTGGCGTGAACTTGTTTATTTTAACTTTTTACTTAGCTGTCTCTCCCACTGAGAGATAATAAACCCCTCTAGAGCAGAGATTATGGTATTCTTGGTGTTTGCATAATACTCTACACTAAAACAAATGATGAGAGACTGATTCCTAGCTTTACGTCATTTTTTTCTATCCTTATAATTCTTGATATCCTTTTCTATTTATTTATTATCTTTTGTATGTTTTAATAAGTTTCTTCAGATTTTGTGAATAAAAGTTTATCTTTAGTTCCGTGAAGCACCTTTTTCATGGGCATACATCCCTTTGAAACCATAATTGCTTTCATTGAAGTGGGCTTTTAAGCAATGTATATATATATATATATAATGTATGCCAGTTATTCTATTTATCTTTGCTACTCTTAGGTATTATTTACTGCTAAGTGTGATTTAGTCTGTTTCCATTCTAATTTTGAAATTTATTTTTTTCAGTAGAAGACTCTACTTATTATCCGGCAGGTTTCTATTGAAAAATATTGCTATATTATTAGAAAATCAGACTATATATGGGAATGGTTAAGCAAGCAATGTATTTTAGTTTGAGTCTTTTACTTAGAAAGATTGTTAAGCAGAATTACAAATATGAAGAAAAGTAGCATGTACAATTGATTTTTGGTTTTGAAAAGGTTGACATGATTGATTTTTAAAAGCTGACAGATCTGGTATTTCCTCTCTCACTTTTGCTTGAAAAGATTTAGTTAATACCAGGAGAATAATTTGTAAGCCCAAAGTTTTCATCTCCGATACCACTTTCTCTACGAGGATTTTCTTTTTTGATGTACAGTTGATTAGTAGCTTACTGTTACTTTGTAATATGTTGCAAATATTATTACTATAGCATATTTTACCTTGTGTTGTAAATATTTGTTCATCTTCTTGAGAGTGGGGACCATGTATTATTTGTTTATTTTGTATAGCACAATAATAAGGATGGTATCTATTGAGTAAACACCCCATATATTCTTACAAAATCAATGAATAGAATTTTAAGAGATAGATTGTTGTATTGGTTTAGTAGAATTAAGGGAATTTTTTTCCTCTCAAACAGCGTGCAGTTAAAAAATTTATTATGCTAACATCCAGTCAAAATGTACCTGTGTTCCTTATTGATCCTTTGATTCTGGAATTGATTAATAAAAACTTTGAACAAGTCAAAAATACTTCTCATGGCTCTGCTTCAGAATGCAAGTTTCTCTGTGTTCCAAGAGACTTTACTGCATTTGCGCTGCAGTATCACCTGTGGAAGAATGAGGTAAGATGCGTTGCTTTCCGAAAATGGAATGTGGCTTTTACAAAATAGTATGGGATTAAACCAGTTTAAAATGTAAAGCATTTAAAAGTTTTCTTAAAGTGTTTTATAAATGGTATCAGGAATATTTTCAGTTATAAGTAACAGAACACAATTAATAATGGCTTAAGCAAATAGAGGATTTACTTTTCTTGGATGACAAGAGGTTAAAAGTTTGGTGGCTGTTGGTGTTAGTTCAGCTGCCCGCTGATGCCAGGGCTTGCATCACTGACGTTCTTTCTTCATCTCCCTCATCATCACAAGGTAGCTGTCACAGCTTAAAGGTGTCATATCCATGTTCAGGGCGGGAAGATGAGAGGAAGGGATGATGACACTATCCATCCTTTGAAGGAAAAGTTCTCTCAGAAGCTTCTGGTAAACTGCCTATAGTTCACCAGCCAGAACTGTATTCCTGTGTCTCCTTGTTGTGATGGAGGCTAAAGAGACAGGTATTTAGCACTTCTATCAGTGCAGGCTGGCAAGTAGGAGGGATTTGGTGATGAATGTTCAGTATCTGCCGCGTCAGGTATATGTGAGGTTGTCTCCCTAGTCTGTCGCACTGTTCTTCGCACTTTGCAAGAGCACAGTACTGGTTTGATGCTCCAATGGAGTGCTTCTGAGGTGTGTCCAAAAGTCCAAACTGATATTTTCATCCTGCTTGATGGTTACAAGGCAGAAGTCAGACAGTAGCCAAAAAAGCCCATCTCTACTAAACAGGTCAAAATTTTGCTTACTTCTTTATTTGGAATACCTCTAACTTCTCAATTTCACTGTTTGTCATTCTGAGGAGTTATTCAACTAAGAGTAGGAAAATTAGCATCAGAATAAATGAAGTCACTAGTCAGCCCCCCATGATGGATAAGCACCAGTTCTGCAGTGGGATCTGTTTTCCTTGTGTTCACCCCTGCGGGGTGGGGCTTAACACTCCAGGGTGATGGTGTGGGCTGGGAAAGCGGTGTGAACTGCGCATTTCCTTGATTGCCCCAGACTCATACGCAGGGCCTCGAGAGAATAGGCTCTGACTTTTTTCTGGCCTGTGGTTCTTTCAGGCAGTGATGCCCATGATGAAACAGATGCTGTGTATATCAAAGTGCAAGATTTTTGTTTGCTTACTTGTTTTTTTCTTTCCTCCCAATTTTATATTTTGAAAATATTTAAACTTATGGAAAAGTTAGGACAGGATATTTTAAATTTAATTTTTATTTGTAATCAAAATAATATTAGTACTAAGTTTAAAAAGCCAGATAGAAATGAAGCGCTCATAATGAAAAGGGCAGTATCTGCCTCCTCTCCCCATCCCTGTTCCCTCTCGTTCAGCCAACCACTTTCAACTCCCTCTACCCTGTTCATCTTCTCATTAATAAATTAAATGTTTATACTTTTAAAAATGTTTCTTATTTAGATTATGAATTATGAGAATTTAGCTCTTATGTCCCTTTTGGCTCATACATAAACACACACAAGCTCGTGCACATGTGCACGCACACACACACATTCTTCTCTCATCGTCATCCTAAAATGACTGTATCGTATTTTGTAGTTAAATCAGTGTTACCTTATTATGAGTAGATAGATAATCACACAGATGCTACCTAGTTTACACTGATAATATTCCTTTTCTTATACAACTCTTTTTTCTCCCTTTTTGTTCCCTAGTTTTCTGTGTATCTATCAATAATCTATCCATGAACTCTGCAACAAAAACATAAAACTCTCAGTGGGATCTAACACATCAGATAATCTCTTAGGTCCATTTTTTTCCTTGGAGACGTCCCTCCTAGAGCTCTTGGTCTTTCTGCCCTAATACAGACTGATCTGCTGGGCAGATACTGTACTGTAACTCCCCTTCACAACACTTTAGGAATTCTCTTCTGAGAAAGGGTGTATGGGAGGTTGAAACCTTGCATATCTGAAAATCTTTCTTTTTACCTTGCACATTTGATATCTAATTTGGTGTATATAATGTTAGCTCCTGCTGTGTAACAAATCACCCTAAAATTTAGTGGTTGAAACAACAGCCATTTATTTAGCTCATGGTTCTGTGACTTGGCAGTTTGCTAGGATTCAGCCGGGCAGTTCTGGTCTCGGCTAAGCTCGCTTATGCAGCTGCCAGCCAGCTAGGCACTCTGCTTCTTCTGGATGACTGGCAGATGGGGCAGTGGAGGTGCCTGGGCTGTGTGTCTTTCATCATCCAGGCTAGTCCAGGCTAGTCCAAGAAAGCAAAAGCATGCAAGATCTCTTGACATTGTTAAAATATTAAGATTTCTTATCCATGAATATGATATTTTCAGGTATCCTTTGATATTCTTTAATAGGATATTCTAATTTTTCTTACAGATTTTGTGCATCTTTAGTAAGATTTATTTCTTGCTACCTTATAGTTTTGAGTGTGTATGTGGGAGGAGGGGGCGGGGGTTAATGTGGATATTTTTCTTCACCTGTTTCCAGTTCATTATTTTAGGCGAATGAGAATGCAATTGACTTTGGTATTTTGATCTTGTTTCCCAGCAACTGTATTGAACTCTGAACTCTTAAAATAAACTCTAATAGTTTCTCCCTCTCACTCCCCTCCCGTCCCACTTTCCCTCCCTCTTTCTTTTTCTCTCCCTCTTTCTCTTTCTTTGAGTGTAGAGCATTGTGTTCTCTGACAAAAAGACATTTTGGTCTCTTCCTTTCCAAGTCTAATACTTAATTTCTTCTTCTTGTCTTATTGATTTAGGTGGGACCCTCAGGGTACTATTGAATAAAAATGTTCTTTCTTTCTGATCTTTTTATTGCTTGGATGTTAGACTTCCAGAATTGATCCTTTCATCTTATCTTTGCTCTTTAATTTTTCATCTCTTTGTCTGTTTACTTTTAAACAAAACCTTTAACAATGCCATTGATTTTTTTCATATTTTTGCTTGAGCTTTTCATATGTTTATTTTCTAAAAGCTCTGTGTACTCTGATTATTTCTTATAATAGCATTGTTGTTTCATGGATACAGTTTTATTTTTTTACTCTGCAGATTTTAGAGTTTTGGTTTTTTAAAAAAGTTTTTTGCTCCATGCTACATTTTTTTTCTAAATCCCTTCTTTGTGGCTGCTTGTTTTTTGGTATGGTTGTTTGTTTTATTTTATTTGTCTGTTTTGCATGAGACAGATTTGCTACAATGCTTGTTGATCTTTGTCTGTTCATATTTAAGAATGAGGCACTGAAAACCAACTGGAAGCCTTTCATTATGTTCAGGCCCTCATTAATTGGTGGGTTTTACTCCAGGGTAATAAGAGTATGCAGCTTCTGTCACTGGAGGGACTCCTAAATGTCAGTATCTGTAGGTCATTCCTATCGGACTATTTGATTTGCTCATAGGAAAAGCCTACAGGTTTATAAACCTTTTTTACAAGGAGTATTTTATAATGCTCCTTTGTTTTCCCAAAATGAAGTTCCTAGAAATTATGACCTACCTGCGTACATAATCCCCCAAATCAATATAATGTCTTAACTATAATATAAAGTAGAAATAAAAGGAAATGTATATTTCAGTGTGTAAATACTCAGGCATGACTGCCCTGGAAGACGTAATGAAGAAATTCAGGTCTTACACTTGTCAGTAGGACCGCTGAATGTGATAGCTTCAAACATAGACTCGTGTTATGAATGATGTTGTTAGTAATGTGGTTTTCAAAAATAGTGAACAAGTTTCCAGCAACAGAAAAATAAAACTGTCTCTCCTTTAACATGGCTATTGTATTCCTGGGAAATGGAGGCTTAGATAATTATAGACAAAGTTTTCACTATATGATTATCTGATAAAACATTGAAATTATGTAGAACACAGGGTAGATTTTTGTATTTTGGCTTGTAGGATGTCTGATGTTCCTGGCTTAGGCCTTTAAATGCCAGTGTGTCCCCCTCAATCATTATGATAACCAAAAATATCTCCACAAATTTCTAAAATCTCTCTTGGGTACAGTACCACTTGCTTTGAGAACCAGTGCTTTAGAAGAAAGGGAATATGCCAAAATTGGCAGAACTGATATGATCACAGTCAGTGGGAGCAGCAGAGGGTCAGCAATACCCAGAAAAAGCACACAGGTTCATGTTTACCTTTTATACATAAGGCATCCTACAGAGCGCTTGGGCAGTCCTCCCTAAACCTTCTCCCAGGACAGAGCAGATTACATCACTAGATCTAATTACTATAGACTTCATTTGTATGTGATTTTTCTTTATTAGTACCATTACCATAAAGTGAGCGAATCATGGCCAAGGCAGCGGGGAGTGGATTTGTGCAGTACAGCCTTGACCTAGGCCTTTACTCTGATCAGAGCAGCTCCTTTGTTCTTGACTTTTTCTCTCTCACGATTCTTAGAAGGCAAGCCTTTTCATAGCTCTGCCTGTTTTGTCTGTCAGTTTTTGTCCTCTGCAACCCATGGTCTGATTCCTCTTCAAGTTCTGGCTGGCCTTTTAAATTTTTCCTGGATTTACCAACTTAGAATGCTTTTCTTTCATCCTGTCTGGTGGATTCCTTCTGTGAATTAGCCACTCTCACCCTCAATCAGTACTTTCTACCTCTTAGGTATACCAAGAAAGTAAAGGAAAAAGGGGAATCCTACAGTGGATAATTCTAACATAAGGAGAATCAAGGTGAAATTGTATTAGCTAGGGTAAGCTACATTAGTTGCTGTTAAAAACAACCCTAAAATCATATTGACTTACCACAAGGAGTAATTGTCTTTACACACAATCCAGGGTGGATTTTCTTGGTCAGGGATATTCCTGGATGACTTTCCTCGCAGTGGAGACCTAGGGTTATCGGCTGTTTCATTTGTGCGGCTTTCCCATCTTGGAGTTCTTTGCTTCCCTACATGTGAATGGAAGAGGGGAACATGGAAGAACTTATGGGATATTGTAAAGCCAGGCCCAGAGGTGGTGTGTGATGCTTCCTTCCACATTTTTTTTTTTATTGAGTTAATGATAG